ACATATTCAGCCTTTTTTGGGGATGGGGAGAAGTACTGAAGATTGAATCCCATTGAACTATCTCCCCAGTCCTTTTTATTTTATTTTAAATTTAAGACAGTGTCTTGTAAAGCTGCTGCAAGTTTCTCCAAGTTGCTGAGATGTGTCTCATTATTCCGGGTGCATCACAGCCCCAGAACCCAAGCAATGTGGCACATGTGGAGCAGTAGTCCCCTCAGTACCTGTAAGTGCAGCCAGAGTGGCAAACGCGAGAGAACCCTCCCTAATAATCCAGACCAATCATTCAGCGGGCCGAGCTGGCCTGACGACATCCCCAGGAGGAACTGCCGGTAGCAGGGTCGTTGCCTGTACCCCAGCCTAGGCTTGCCAGTCTGTCCCTGGAGTGGTAGTCAATGGTGATCGAGGCTCAGGTAGGGGATCTCGGAGACTCGGTGCTTCCCAGGCTCCTGGAGAGGAGGGGGAGGTAAAACTACTTGCGGTGGAGCGCGGCAGCTCTCCCGGAGTCTCGGGCAGGTGCGGTTCCCACGCTCTCTGGGCACTGGCGCCGAGCTGGGCTTGTGGTCCTTGTAGAGCAAAGCTCGTTTTGCGGTCTTGGTAACTGATTGCTGATGCCGGGCATGTACTCTCTCATTCTCCAACCCACGTCTTTGGGATACAGAGGTGGCTGGACGTAACGGGACTCGTGTCGTCTCCATGCGAGGCAGCAGAAGTCTCACCTGTGCCTCCTTATTTCTCTTTAGCATAACTTCTCCAAAACCCGAAGGAGTGCGTGAAGCAGGGAGGCTGGCCATGCCCCAGACCACTTGGTGCCAGGGGAGCGAGCAGATCCTCTTAGCCTATGCAGCCCCCCTTTCCTGCCCTTTTTACCCTTTTGATGTCCAGAGGGAGCAGGTATCAGCTCTGTATCCAGATCCTAAATTGTCCAGGCTTGTGGCCTCCATTGTACATCGTTTACTGTGATGGAATAGACAGGTGAGAATTCCCCCCCACCAAAAGACATGACTGGATGAAGAAAACTAGTGAACAGGAGATTGATTGGGGTAGATTTGGCAACTGGGGCAGCCAAAAAAAATTCTCCTGGAAAATCAGAAATCTTCATCACTGCAAAGAAGACCCCTTTCCTGTCCTCAAGACTGGAAAAGTTTTTCCTTGGACAAGCAATATCGGTAACTGTTTTTGTAGATTCTAGTGAATTTTCTACACAGACAGGTCATCTATGAGTACAGACAGTTTAACTTCCTTCTTTCCAGTCTGGAAGCCTTTTATTTATTTTTCTTGCCTCATTGCACTGTCTAGAACATTCATTCAATGTTGAATGGAAGTGGTGAAAGCAGATATCCTTATGTTATTCATGACCGTTAGATGAAGGCATTCAGGCTTTCATCATTAATGATTTTCATTGTAGGTGTTTTGTTCTTTTTAAATGCTCTTTATTATTTTTCAATGGTGTTCTGAAGAACAGAAAATGTTAGTATTGATGAAGGCAAATTTATTAGCTTGGTGTTTTATGGATCATGATTGCAGTGTCACTTTTTGGAAAGATAATTGCTTCCCCACTGACTTGCCTTTGCACTGTTGTTGCATATTAACTGCCCGTTTACTGGGGGTCTATTTCTAGATTTTATTCTGCTCCATTGATCTGTTTGTCTTTCTTAAAGCACCTGTTTGACCTCATTAAAGCATCATCTTAATTCCTATAGTTTTCTAGTAAAAGTATTGAGGTCATATAGTGTTAGTTCTTCAACTTCGTTTTTTTTGTCTGAGATGATTTGGCCATTTGTACTTCCATAGAAATTTTAGAATTAGCTTGTCAATTTCTATAAAACACCTCCTGGAGTTTTGATTGCACTGAATGTGTAGATTCATGTGTGGGGGTGGGGTGGGGTTGGGGGCGGTATTGACATCTTTATATAGAATCTTTTGACCCAGGGACATGGGTGTCCATTCATTTAGATCTTTGTTAATTTATCTCACAGTCTTGCATTTTTTATTGAACATATCTTTCATACTTTTTCATAGACTTATTTCTAAGTAATTCATATTATTCAATATTGTTAAGAGTAAATTTCCCATTGGTATATAAACTATGATTGGTTTTTGAGTATTGATCTTCTATCCTGCAACCTTGCACTGTTCACATATTAGTTCTAGTAGCATTGTATAATTTTATAAGATTTAGTAGCATTTTATAATTTTATAAGATTCCATAGGATTTTCTAATATTAAGGCTCATGTTTGCAAATAATAACAGTTTCACCTTTTCCTTTCCAACTCCGGGTGACTTTTACATTTCTTTTTCTTGCCTCATGCAGTGGCTAATGGGTGGGAGAGTGTGTTTTTAGGAAGAGCCAATCTCTCCGGCATTGGTCTGGTGAGCCACCTAGCTCTAGGGACTACTTTCCTGAAATGTGAGTAGACTCTGACAAGTGCAAACTCTTTTGGTTCCTTTACCCTTTAGATGTCTTTAGGTCAGCTTTGCCTGTATTCTGTTTCTTTGATGTGGCTGTCTGGGAAAGAATGTGCTTTTGTAGCTTGCTCCCAACCTAAGGTTTCAGTTGGGCCTATCAAAGCTCTCATTTATCTCCCTGCGTGCTGATACCAAACAGAGGAGTAATGTGTCCAATCTTCTTTCCTTTCAAGTTAAAAATATTATAACAATTTACAGATACTTTTTAAATGTTGTGTTGTATTTGTGTGCATGTACACTCATATGTGTGCCTACATACATACACATGCATGCGAATGTTCATTTCCATAGGGACAGTATCCAAATATATGTCCTTATCATGCTGTTGTTCCTGGAAGTCCAATTTATTTAAAACAATTGTTCATACAAACTTTATAATGAAAATACTATGGATATTACAAATAGGGCTGTTTCTATGTTAGGTAAAATCTCTGCGTAGTCAGCCTACACAACAGTCCCCCCTGGCATTCATACTTTTTTATCTTGCCTAACATTGCATCATGACTGACCTATGATGATATATACTGAGGGAATGACAGGGTGTGACTTTCAAAGTTAGGTCATAAATGACACCACAGCTTCAGTCTCAACCTCTTAGATTGCTCACCTAAGGTAGAAGTCTGCTACCATGTTGGGAGAGTACTCCCTATGGGGAGGACTGAAGTTTCACAAGAATAACCAGAACCAATTTGCTAGTCATGTGAGTGAGCTGCCTTAGGGAGAAATCCTCCAGTCTCCATCAAGGTGGAGATCATGGCAGTCCCAGGTGACACCTAAGTGGAATCTCATGAGATTACAAACCAGTGCCTGAGCCACTCCTAAACTGTTGATCCACAGACATTTTATGAGATAATAAATGTAATGTATTGCTTTCAACTACAAAGTTTTAGAGTGATTTGTCATACTGTAGATTCCTAATAGTCTCCATGATAGGACTTCTTTGTGCTATTGTTGTTAGTCCATGTGAAAGTAATTAAAAACAAAACAAGCAAAAAGAAAGACAAAACTCTAAGAAGTTGTATTCCTATAACAAAATAATATATTTAGACACCCAGGGTCACTTCCAGCTTTTTGTGGTAGGAGGCTAATTCTCTTTTGTAGCACTAAATGCTTGGTGGGTAGGAGCTATGTACCTGAACTATGTTCAGTAGAATTACCAGAGAGGTGAAAAATAAGTAAGTGAAGCCTGCGTGTCTTCCTACATTACTCCCAAGAGGTCATGGAGTAAAGCTACTTGTTGATCCACTGATTTTTTGGAAGCATGGTTATTGTAGTGAGGTACTTGCTGATTGGTTGTTGTCCAGCAGGTAAGTCCACCACTGATTGGCTGGTTTGAGGGGTACTTATCACTGATAGGTTCATGTTCAGAAGGTTGCGAAGTACTCGCTAACTTTCAGGATGACATTTACGGAGGTGTGGCATGGAGGGGAGGAGGTGGGCACCCAGGTGAGGCCTTTGCTTCTTGTTTTTATTTTCAGAGCATGTGTGCCGATGGACCTTAAGTTATGTAAATTAACAGCAATTTGGGACTTGGGATTTTGGCCAAAGAATAGCTTTTTCTGTTTTTCTTTCTCACTTTTGTTTTTCCTTTAAAAAATTTGAGCAGAGGCCTTGCTAGGTTGTCCAGATGGGTCTCAAACTCCAGGGTTCAAGCGATCCCGCTACCTCAACCTCCCAGGTAGCTGGGATTTCAGGCGCACACCACAGTGCCAGCTATTTCCTTTCTTGACTATGAAAAATTAAGAACTTAAAATTCTCACCCTCCATCTCCCCCACCCCCTTCCTTCAGAGAGACCATCAGGGATTGTCCAGATCTTTATTTGTGAAGGTATGATTCACCCCACCCCCCAATATTACCATGTAAATGATATAAGTGCCAGTTGCTGGGCAGAAACATAACACTAATGAGTTTTTGTAATTATTAGAAAAAGCTAAATATGGAACATTTTGGGTATCCTACCCATGTCAGTACAGGACAAAAACATTTAATACAGGACATACCCTGTATATACAGGATGTCTGGGAACAGTCACATTTATTTTCATTGTTAGATGAGTCTGTCCCACACTGGTCTAGGTCCCAGGAAGGACGAAGACTAAAAGGGTAAGTGGAACCGTGGTTTTCCTTGCCAACCGTGGCCTCCAGCAGGATCCCTGGCTCGGGCCTCCTGGAGATGACATAACAAGTGACATTCTCCCCACACCTGCACAGCAGGGGCTTCGGGAGATCCACGCAGTAAAGTGGGCCGACAGCTGAGAGGCAGTTGGTTAGGCGGGTGTCACTTTTGTCCAAAGGCTGCTGTCTCAGAGACACATGCTAATATATAGGATGTGTCATCTGCCACGGATCAGCAGACGCCGCTGCAACCAGGAGTGCTGCGCTGGGCGCCGAGTCACGTGGGTCCGGCGGAGGGGACCACCGAGATGTGCGGCCTCCAGGCGGCCTAGAGGGCCCTTGCTTGCTTCCGGATCGGCTTTTAGTTTCCAGCTTCTAAACGTTCGCGGAGGAAGATCGTGGCTGTTAGCAAGTTCCACCGGCCAGGTCTTGGGTTGCCAGATTCTTCGCTGCCCCTGGCGGCTCGTCAGTCTCCTCCCTTGAACTAGGTCCCAATGGTGGCCTGCCCCTCCGTCACCTGCGCTCGAGCGTTTGAGCCTCGCAGAAGCCGCCCGAGGTAGCAGCGCGACCTTCTAGAGCCGGCGCCCAGCCCCCGGCTGCCCCACCGAGGCGTGAGCCTCATTTCTGCCCCCCCAAAATCTTGTCCCGAAAGCCTCCCTCGTCCGGTATTTACGTTTCTGATATTGTGGTTTCCTCCTTCCCTGGGTGGGGTGTTCAAATCCCTGTTGGGTCTCGGGTCAGCATCAGTCCCTGGTACACGAGTATTTCCCCTTCGTCCGCATTCAGCCACGCCTGCTCCCTGTCTCCAGAGAGACCCCTGCTCAATGCCAAGGTCCCTGTATGCAGTCTGTAAAACCACGTTTGTAGAGACCCAACGCTATAGGTGTTGGGAGTCCCCCGCTCCAAAGATGGCGCGCTTCTCTTCCGGTGTTAACTTCCCCATCCCCGCGGGAATAGCCGCCCAGTGGTGAGCCCTGCTGACTCATGATCCTTACCCACCAATCACAAAGCGCCCTGTGCCAACTGTTAAACCGTTAAACTGTTAAACTCGCCCCAGCTCTATAAATGTGCAGAGCTGTTCCTCCATAAACTGGCACTTCTCCAATGACGAGACTTGTCTGGTGGTTCTTTCAATAGGGATGGAATAGGGTGGTTCTTTGATCCCTCAATCCACTGCATGTGAGTGGACTCAAGAATGCTTTTCGGTCTGAGCAGGCAGCTGGAGGATTGTCCAGCTGAGCAGAGCAGTGAAGGAAATGGGGTCATCGAGTGAGAAGAGCCCGAGAGTTTCTCCAGTGAGAGGGTGGGTGTGGGTGCTTAGGACAGGGTTCACAGTACTCATGGCTCTTCTTCTTTTAACTTCTAAGGTTCTGCTTTCCCAACCCAGAAGACAGTACATGAAGCCAGGAGACGTACTATCAGCCATGACCCAAACAGCTCCGCCTCAGGTGAGCTGTTTCCTTTAAGTCTTTTCACTCACATTAGCTATCAGGTAATCAGGCAGGGATGAAGAGGGCCTCATTTGGCTAGGCTGTGGTTTCCTCTTTGATTTTGTCACCAGGAATATGGCAATGTAAGATATGTGAAGGGGGAAATAAGTGTTTTGTGTGTACAGTCGTGAACTTTAATGTGTAGCTTTAAAGTAGACGTGAGGAAACCCAAACATTCTCCAGCAAAAATGAAAGTCCTGATCACATTCTGCCAATGAAAGTCCCGATCACATTCTGCCAACAAAAGTTACCTGCTGAAATCAGAGAAATTCTTCACTGAAGAATTGATACATCCAACAAATTGTGGATGTATCCCAGAAAGACCAGTATTGTTTTTCCAGTATGCATTTTCTAAATGCTAGATGCAAAGGCTCTGATGTGGGAGAGAAAGCTGGGTATTCTCCAGAAATAGGAAGAGGCCAGAGACAGTGGTTCAATATGTGGTGGGAGAAGTAGGCACAGGTATTGTGTGAATCATGGTGAGGACTTTTATTTCTCTTAGAAGAGTCCAGGGGGAGTCCACAGAAGAATTTTAAACAGGGGGAGGTGACATGGTTAGAATTACATATTAAAAAAAATTCCAGTCCTTAGTGGTGAATTCGCCAAGTGAGTTAATGAAGAGAATATTGAAGTTCAGGTAAGAGATTAAGTAATGTTCTTTCTTTTATTTACTTATTTTGAAAACAGTCTTTGATATTTTGTTGAAGTTTTAGGTTCACAGCAAAATTGGGCAGAAAGCACAGAGTTCCCATATGCTTCTTACCATCACATAAAACAAAGGTTTCTACATATGTACATCTTGCCATAGAGGGGTACATTTGTTACAAGGGATGAATCTATGTTGACACATCATAGTCCCCTAAAGGTCAGAGTTTACATTAGAGTTTGGGTTTGGACAAATGTATAATGATGTGTATCCATTATTATGGTATCATACAGGATAGCTTTACTGCCCTAAAAATCTTCTCTGCACTTCCTGTTCATCCCCCTCTTCACCTTAACCTCTGACAACAATTGATTGATCTTTTTACTCTCTCCATAGTTTTGTCTAATCTAGAATGTCAGAGTTGGAGCTGTATGTATATAGCTTTTTCAGATTGGTTTTCTTCACATTAAGGTTCCTCCAAGGACTTTCCATGGCATAATAGCTTATTTCTTTTTAGTACTGAATAATATTCCACTATCTGTACCACAGTTCAGTTTGTTTATTCATTCATCTATTAAAGGACATCTTGGGTGCTTCCAGTTTTGGCAGTGATGAGTAAAGCTGCTTTAAATGTCCATATGCAGGTTTTTGTGCAGACATATATTTTCAGCTCCTTTGATAAAATCCCAAGGAACATTATTGCTGGCATATGGTAGCATAGTTTTATTTAAAAAAATTTTTAGTTGTTGACATTTATTCTATTCATTTATTTATATGCGGTGCTGAGAAATGAACCCAGTGTCTCACACATACTAGGCAAGCCCTCTACTACTGAGCCATAATCCCAGCCCAGGTAGCATAGTTTTATAATAAACTGCCAAACTGTCTTCCAAAGTGTGTGTACCATTTTGCTTTCCCATAAGCAATGAATGAGAGTTCTTGTTATTTCACATTCTTGCCAGCATTTGGTATTGTCTGTGTTTTGAATTTTGGTAAGTGTACAGTGGTATTTTATTGTATTTATTTATAGTTCCATAATAGCATAATAACTTACAGTGTTGAGCATCTTTTCATATAACTATTTTCCATCTGTATATTTTCTTTGTTGAAGTACCTGTTCAGGTCTTTTGCCCATATTTTATTTTATTTTTTTAAATTTTAAACATGTTAATATTTTAATATGTTAATTTTTCCAAGAAAACATAGGAATTTTAGAAAATTTATTACAGAGAAAGAAAAAAACTCATTTTTTGATCCTATTTATAAGAAACAATTTATTGGTGGAATTTAAATTATTAAATCATGCATGATTTTTGGTATAATATAAACAAGAACACAACAAAAATTTTAACAATTTTAGTGGTGTCCCACCCATTTTCTCTTAGGAAATAATATAACAACAGGAAAACTTAAGACCATCTATCTATATGTATACACACTATATATGTAATTGAGGATAGACAGAGAAAGAAAAAGAGAGACATAATAATTTTCCCAGGAGAATATTTATGATTTTAATAAATTGACTAGCTTTTTAATTAAGTCAAAATAAGTTATTGTATTGTCTTTTAAATAAATCCCCTTACTCATCACCCTGCAATTTCACACAACAGAAATGGGAGTACAGATAGTAGGGTCTATGTTAGTATTATTTGGAATGATTTTTAAAAGTCTTGGTAAATTTGCAATTTTGTCTCCTTGGGTTTAATATACAATCCAATTTTTTAAGTTCATAATGAAATGTATTTTCCAGTTCTTTGTATGATTATATATGTTTAAAGTACATGATTCTGTCTAATGCTACTTCAGTTACTATCACCTTCTGAAATTAGGACTAGCAACCCTAAGAACTGGGTGAATCATATTTGTTTTTATATCTTATACACTGTAAGAATTCAATCTCATGAAAAGGTGGATAGTAAATTAAAAATAACAGGTTAACATTTGAATAGCAGCAAGTTATGTATAAAGAAGTAACTTGATTGATACAAGTTCAATGAAAACTGTGATTGAATCACTATTGATTTGTTTCCTCATGCTCCCATATTATTCTTCAGATAGAACCATAAAGACAATAACCATTCCTAAGATGACATACAAGAAAATGCTTAAAATTGCTTCCTCTCAATTTTCAGGCAAAACGAAGCCTTGGCATCTTCTTTTTCTTCCCCTTCTTCAATGTTTTCTTTGGTGCACAGAAGTCCATACAAGAAGCTTCATCAGAGAACTGGTTTTCACTACGGTTACAACCACCAGACATGAATTTTTCACATGTCATGGTCATTAGATTGAAGAAATACATTTCTCTGGGCTCCTTCCATATATTCTCATTGACTTCCAACCAGCAAATGTGGGGAACTTCTGTCCTCGCTGGCGGTGATCACGCCGTCCTCCTTGGGGATGAGCAGCGCTGCCGTGCCGGCGTCCTGGTGGCCCTCGATCTTGCTCAGCAGCACCGGGCGGCTGCTCTGCGGCCTGGAGTGGATCTCGGCCGCCATGTTGGCGCCTTTTGCCCATATTTTAATTGAGGATTGTTCATAAGAATTATTTTTTATGTTTTATAACAGTGCTTTATCAGATTCCTCTCTCTCTTTTTTTTTGGTCCTGAGGATTGAACCCAGGAATGCTTTACTACTGAGCTACATGCTCATGATACTGCTGGTTATCGGTGCCAAGTTCTGCTCCCTCACATGATGAAGTTTGAACATTAGAGTAGTACACCAAGGCAAGCATATAAACCAGGGTTTATTTAAAAAGGGGTAACATCGACTTCTCCCAGGAGGGAGAAGAGGGCCATAGCTGGTATCCTGGTAACCCAAGAAGTGAGGCTGGCTTTGAACTCGTGATCCTCCTGCCAGCCTCCCAAGCTGCTGGGATTACAGGTGTGTGGCACTGTGCTCAGCCAAATATTTGCTTGTTGCCTGTGGTTTATCTTCTCATTTTCTTGACATATTATGCCTTTTTTTTTTTTGAGCTGGGATCTTGCCGTGTTGCTTATGCTGTCTCAAATTCTTAGGCTCTCACCGCAGCCTCCCAAATAGCTCGGATTACAGGCATGTATCACTATGCCCAGCTAACATATTGTCCTTTTAAAATATGGTTTAGTTATCCCTCTTCTTTCTTTCAAATTTTTCTCCTAAAATATTGTTGACTAGTCTTTCACACGTATTTTTTTTTCAGAAGTCTTTAAGTAATTTCTCAGCCCTACATGAATCTCATTATTATTATTTTTGGGGTGGGAAAGTGAATTTTGTTGAATTCATAGGTGAGTCTGGAAATAACTGACCTTTTTTTTTTTTTTTAAACAAATTTGATTCTATTCAGAAATTCTATATTCCAATTTACTCAGTTCTTCAAGTAAGTGAATATTTAGTTTTCCTCATCTTGATCTTGCATGAAAATTTCTGTTAGGTCTGTTCTTATTTATTTTTATATAAAAGGCATCTTATTTTATCCCATTATATTTTCCAATTGTTTGTGATGATGAAGCCAGAATTAAACAGGCAGATAGGCAAGGGTTGGATCCAGAGAATGGAGGAATTGAAATGTTAATTCCTTCAGAGCCCTTCTTCTACCCTGTCAAGATAATCTGCTTATTACTCTGCATTAAAAAATGACAAAATCATAGAATTTGTAGGGAAATGGATGGCATTAGAGCAGATTATGCTAAGTGAAGCTAGCCAATCCCTAAAAAACAAATGCCAAATGTCTTCTTTGATATAAGGAGAGTAACTAAGAACAGAGTAGGGACGAAGAGCAGGAGAAGAAGATTAACATTAAACAGGGATGAGAGGTGGGAGGGAAAGGGAGAGAGAAGGGAAATTGCATGGAAATGGAAGGAGACCCTCAGGGTTATACAAATGTACATACAAGAGGAAGTGAGGGGAAAGGGAAAAATAATACAAGGGGGAGAAATGAATGACAGTAGAGGGGGTAGAGAGAGAGGAGGGGAGGGGGGATAGTAGAGGATAGGAAAGGCAGCAGAACACAACAGACATTAGTATGGCAATATGTAAATCAATGGATGTGTAACTGATGTGATTTTGCAATCTGTATATGGGGTAAAAATGGGAGTTCATAACCCACTTGAATCAAAGTGTGAAATATGATATATCAAGAAATATGTAATGTTTTGAACAACCAACAATAAAAAATTTTAAAAAAAGGAAGTTTTTATCATTAAAATGATTCTTGCAAATAAAAAAAAAAAGATAATCTGCTCCTGCTCCAACCTGTTGCTAAGGTAACCTGTCCCAGGAATTTCTCCTCCCTATACGGAGTTATAAAGTTGTTAATTAATGTGTTCTGGGCTCCTTCATCTGGCCCTTTCCCATCCATCTGCTTCTTACCTTTTGGCCATCCCATCTAGCATCTCCTGAGCCTAGTAGCAGGAAGGAGAGAGATAAGGAGAAGAGAGCAGGAGAACAAAGGAAGCCTAGGACATATAAAAAGGCAAAACACCCTCACTTCTTGGGATACCAGGATACTAGCTATGGCCCCCTTCTCCCTCCTGGGAGAAGTCTATGTTTCCCCTTTTAAATAAACCCCGGTTTATATGCTTGCTTTGGTGTGCTTCTCTAATGTCATACTTTGACATGTGAGGGAGCAGAAATTGTGACTGATAACCAGTGGTATCAATGATATTTAGGAAATCTAATAATTATAGTTTACTTATCCTGTATCTAAATAAGTTAATGAACTTTTTGTCAGTTCTAAGTGTTTAGTTTATTCTCTTGGGTCTTTAGATACTTTTAGACAGATAGTTATTTTATCTTCAAGCAAAGATATTTATGTTCATTACTTTTCTATATTTATGCTCTTTTGCCTGATTGCAGAAACCTCAGCTCAGGGTAAATATTCATCCCTCAGCTTTAACAGATATATTGTGACATTTTACTGTTACAGTGATGTTCATAATAGCTTCTTCATCCTCCTCACAAGTTGAAAAACATTTTTTCCATCTATGGCCAAACCAATTTTGAAATTACTTCTTTCAGCAAGTGTTATTAAGCATCCACTATTGTGTGTGCTAATAATCCAGTCATGAACAAAACAGAATCCCTGCCTGAGGGACTTAGATTCTGGTGGGGCAGATAAACAGCGAATAATGTAGTATGTCAGATGATGAAAAATACTGTGGAGAATAACAAGGTGAAGTTCAGAGGTACCTTCAAAATAAGAGGGAAAAAAGACATCCCAAACCCAACTGTCTTAAGACAGTACATTTTCCCTTTAATGTTAAGCATATTTTTATTTTTTATTTTATTTTATTTTTTTGTTAAGCATATTTTTAGAACTCATGAAACTTGGGATATTTGATGGCAGATGGGAAGGTCAATTTGGGGAGGAAGAGATTGGTAGCATTAGGCTGGAAGGAAAAAGGTGTTCAAGAAGCTTTGGCGATGTTGGGAGTAAGGTTTGCCTTGCTGTAAGTGAAGGTGAAATTTGGTTTTACCTGCAAGCCTGTGTTTGTCATCCTTAGAAGCTTTTGATGCCCAGTTGAAGTGATGATAACTCACAGGACAACTTGATTCAGTCTGCTGTTTGGATTTTTGGGGCGTGCTTTGCACCTCATCATTGCTCAGTTAAAAGGCTAGCTTCCCTTTGAGAAGTGTCTACGTTTATTCTTTTTCATTCAGTATCTCCTTTAAACAGAGTTCTTTTCATTGCTCTTGTTTTGAAAAGACCCTCTCATAAGGACCTACATGTAGAGTCAGTAGAGCTGCTGTGAGCAATTTGAATTGCCAGAATTTATCCTTGGTGTGTTTTTTCCTTGCTTCCTCCAAAAGCAGTTCTAGTAGCTTTCCTTTCTCCCCATTCCCCCATGCAGACTCCAGGGCACAGGCTACTTTAAAGACTCTCAGAGTCAGATTGAAACTATCTGGGTCTTCACTGGGCGTCATGGAAGGGTTCAGAGCTCTGGCTCCCAGTATGTTATGTGTGGTTTTGAAATAACTGACCTTTAATCCAGATTGGGAGGAGGGGCCCAGGTGGCCAGGAGGAATATGGTAAATATGGATTGAGTGATGGTTTGAGGAGTTGGGGAGTTTAAGAAGCTAGTCTCCAAAAGGGATGTAGCACTAGATTTTCATGAAGTTCAGGGTTTAGCTATGTTTTTGGGGAAGTTTATGAGCCCAGAGTGGAGGACTGGTATGCATTTTGATATTTGTGACAGATATGGGTTGAAGTTAGAGCTCTACTATTTTCCTGGCTGTATGATCTTGGCTAAAGTAATTATCTTTCTGCACTTTAGTTTTATCATTTGAAAAATGGGAATGTTAATTCCTTACAATATATGTGTTGTAAGGATTAAGTGAAATACAAGATTTAAAGTCACTCACCTCAGATACACAGGGCTAATCAACAAACATTAGTTCTCTCCACTCTTGGGAAGATGGAGATGGCCTCAGGGAAGGCAGAGATAGGCATACTCAGTGAGGAGGACAGTCTGGGTAGGTGGGATGGAGCTCAGAAGACTGGGAGATGGATGTGTGTCCAGGGACAGGGCACTTCCAACCTGTCTCTGAAGATAGGTGGTTCAGAGAAGACAACCAGAATAGGCAGGGTACAGGTTTCTTTCAAGAAAGCCAGCTTTCTGATAAGGCAGATAGGTAGAAAATGCAGAACATTTATAAGTAGTGGCTGCTCTGCACACAGAAATGATCTTGAGGAAGAGGCAGTTGGGGCTGTATATGTGCTTTGGATGGGTAGAGACAGGGTGATTGGCAGCTGTGTTTAGTGGATAATATATAGAAAAAACAGTGATGGATTATGGGAGTACATGAAAATGAGAAGTGCCAGAGGAACAGATCTGTAAAGCCAGGAACACAAGGGTTGACCTGGTTACCAGGGAGAGAGTGCTGGAGGCCAGGTTATGTGATTGGGATAGCAATTTGGGGCTCCAGAGGTGTATAGATGGGACATTGCTGGTGCTCCCCATTTTAGGAAACGTGCCCGACAGCCAACTCCTGGCTGGGGTGCTGGGTGCTTTTCTTCCTAAGGAAACCTTCTCTGGGGCTTAGGGTGGTGAACCGAGGCTGGGCTATTTCTTCCCTGCAGGTTAGACTGCCCCCTTCTTCCCTTTACTCAGAGCTTGAGCAGGAATCTGTTGTTTCAGGAGCCAGTGACTTTTGAGGATGTGGCTGTGTACTTCACCCAGAATCAGTGGGTCAGCCTGGAGCCTGCGCAGAAGGCTCTGTACAGGGAAGTGATGCTGGAGAATTACGAGAATGTGGCTTCCTTGGGTAAGATGTTTCCCAGGGGCCCTTTGTGAGAGACTGTTAGTGCCTCAGATGCTTTGGAGATTCTAGTATCCCTTAGGCCTGGTGACTCCAGAGGGATGCTATCACCATCCTCCAGAGATGCTGGGTGGGGAAATCCCTGATTCCCTTGGTTTTGAAACTGAAGTTCCTTACACTCCAGGGAAGGGTGTGGTTCTGGGACCTGAGGGCAAAGGCCCTTCCTGGCTCCCAACCCAGGTGAGTGCTTTGTTTCTCCATCCTTGCAGTTTTAGGGATGTTGGTTCTTCTCTGTGAAGTCTCCCAGGAAAGCAGTACATACATGCTTCCAGAGGGAGTTTTCTTCTAAGTCAGGACCAGATGGAAAAGTTTCTTCCTGAGGAGAATCATATCCCCCTGGTTCATTGTGGAGCACAGTTGGACCCCCTCCTTGGAACTCTTCTGTAGCTCACTTGACCTTCTGGGTGTTTCATTTCCCTCCCTAATAAGGCTGAAGAGGTCTCAGGAACAGGGCTGGATGTCTCCTCTCAGCTTTATTTCTTGCTTTCTTCCTAAAGTAGCATTTCCATTCCACAAACCTGTTCTCATCTCCCAGCTGGAGAGAGGGGAAGTGCCATGGGGTGCAGATCCCTGGGACACAGAGGTTTTGCGCACCGTCAGTCCTGGTAAGTAAGAGAACCTAGTTGTAATGTTCTTACCTTGCCTTCCTGGTTTACTGTGTGAGAAATGTTTCTTCTGCTGCAGGAATCAAAGCTCCCAGTCTTTGCTGAGGTCATACCCTGTGCTCACTGAGTTCTGACCCCGAGCCTGGAAAAACCAGCCCCTAGGAGTACACAGCCCCACACTGTCTGCCCATTCATGTGGCTGTTTTCCTAAGCAGTAAAGCTATGACCCAGTAGCTCCAAAACTACTACTTATCTCACTTAGCAGTGGGAATTCTTGATTTTTTAATGCAATTTTTCATTGCAAAGAAGTGAGGTCTCAGCCAATTTTAAGGAATATGTGATCCTGTGGGCCAAACTGATTTGTATTAGCGCTACAAATTTTATTTTTAGGCCTTCAGCAATGACAAGAATGGCTTTGTCTTTTTTGTATCTAAATCATCTAAAAGTTCCATTTCCCATAATCTTTAGGTCCATATTGTATTTGTCAAAGATGGGACTGGAATATTTGGCCAGGAATATTTTCCTAGCATAGCCCCAACACACATGCCCAGAATACCTAAAGTTCTCTGAGCTGGCTTACCAGTCTTGGAAGGTTTTGATTACCCAGGTTTGCTTTCTTTTGTAGGAGAATTCCCCGTCTTGCTTCTCATGCACTCTAGGAGTTGATGTGTGTGGGTCCTTGAGTAGTGATGCCATGGTGGTCCACGGCTCTCTAGTCCAACTTCTGTTCCAGCTGCCTTTCTGAAAGAATTTTCTTTTATTCCACCCAGAACATTATATAGAATATTTTAAATGTTATTAGGGTATTATTTAGAATTTTGGGTGGTTTCCTGGGTTATAGGTGGGGCATGGAATCCATTGTTTTTCTGCTTTCTGTTTCTCAGCCTGTGAGATCTGCTGAGCTGTTTCTCTGTTCTTCCCATTCTTGCATCTTTTTTTCCTCTCCTAGGTCTCTGGTCTGTCTTTTTTTTTTTTTTTTTTTTTAATTTCCTGCCAATCCCTCTTATCTCTTTTTATCTTTTTTGGTTTCCCCTTTTCCCAATGCCTCCTTTCCTTCCCATTCCTGAGCTTCTCCTTTCCATTTTCCCTGCCTTAGTTCATTTTTCTGGCTTCCTCATGGGGGCCATTTCTGGTTGTCTTTCCTGTTCTGTTTTTGAGCATCTCCACTTCTCCACTTGTATGTCAATATTTATCTTTGTGTCTCTCATTCTCCTTTGTGGGTACTTATAGCCATTTCAAGGGTATTTTTCTAAAGATCATTCTTCAAGGGGAAATTGGCATCACCTGACCGTTTTCCTTTTGGCTCAGTAACTAGTATCACTTGTGCTTTCTCTGGGCAGGTGGTAAATCCTGGATCAAGAGTGAAGAGCCACTTATAAAGCAGGAAGCCTCTGAAGAGACAGAGCTACACAGCATGCTCAAGGGAGAAGGGCCCAGAAACAATACTCAGCATTTTGGTTTAAAAAGCAAGGCACTAAGGCAGACTTTCAGTCTAAATCCAAATCTGATACTTCGAGGTGGAATGAAGTTCTATAAATGTAAAGAATGTGGGAAGATCTTCAGATTCAACTCAAAGCTTCTTCGGCATCAGATGAGTCACACTAAAGAAAAGCCCTTCAAATGTAAGGAATGTGGCAAAGCTTTCAAGTCTAGCTATGACTGTATTGTCCATGAGAAAAACCACATTGGAGAGGGGCCCTATGAATGTAAGGAGTGTGGCAAAGGTCTGAGCTCCAGCACGGCTTTGACTCTGCACCAGAGGATCCACACTGGAGAGAAGCCCTACGAGTGCAAGGAGTGTGGCAAGGCCTTCCGCCGTAGCGCGGCCTTTGTTCAGCACCAGAGGTTGCACACAGGGGAGAAGCTCTATAGATGTAAGGAGTGCTGGAAAGCTTTTGGGTGTAGGTCACTTTTTATTGTCCATCAGAGAATTCATACGGGGGAGAAACCCTACCAGTGTAAGGAATGTGGTAAAGCCTTCACTCAGAAAATAACATCCATTCGGCATCAGACAGTTCACACCAGGGAGAAGCCTTATGAATGTAAAGTGTGTGGAAAAGCTTTCAAATGGTACGCAAGTTCTGTTCAGCATCAGAAGTTACACCCAGTCGAGGAGAAGCCTGTCAAGGCTCTTGAGCCGAGCCTGAGCAGACCCCCGTGCCCTTCTCCAGCCTTAGCACCAGCCTTAGTACCAGTTCCTGTCCAGGGGTCATGCCCTGCTCCCACTGTGGCTGTGCCTTCACTCACCTTTCCAAATGCTGTTCTCATTCCTACCTCTGGGCCTTTGTTCATGCTGCTGCCTATATCTGGAATACCTTCTTCATCTACCCAAATAGTCCATGTTTTTCAGAGTTTTACTCCTTCTGTGAAGCCCACCCCAATTATTCTGATCCCATCTCACTCCTCATGACCTTTTTTTTTTTTTTTTTTTGGTACTGGGGATTGAACTCAGGGGCACCTGACCACTGAGCCACATCCTCAGCCCTATTTTTTTATTTTATTTAGAGACAGGGTCTCACTTGAGTTGCTTAGCCCCTCAATTTTTGCTGAGGTTGGCTTTGAACTTGTAATCCTCCTGTCTCAGCCTCCCAAGCCGCTGGGATTACAGGCGTGCACCACCACTCCCAGCCTTCATGAGCTTTATCTTGACATTCCTATGGCTCTTATGACCAACAGATCTCCACTTTAATTTGATTTTTTTTGTATTTTTTTCCTTTCCCTTACATGGGTTACTACTGTTTCTATATAAACTCCATTGTAATTTGTATACATTTAAAGACTGTGTTCATATAATATATTCTTTTCTGGGTAGAAAATGGAAATACTAAACATTTGCATTGGTCCCTTTCAGACTTGAACAACAGTGACTGTGACTGCATCCTAGGGATACCAGGTGTTAGAAGAACTGAGAGGTTACTTAGGTACATTAAGGAAGGTTGGGAAAGAGGACATCCCTATATTAGGCTGATGTAATTAGAGAGAAGCAACCTCAGAGAAATAGGAGGAGGCATGAAAAATCTGTGGAAGTAGAGAATTAGAATAAATTTCCATTTATGGACTTTGAAAATCAATGCAGATTATTTACTAGGCCATTCACTAGGTAGGTATTAATACTTTTGAAATTGTGTTGCCTTTGTTATGGATCATTGAGGATCCAATACTCTATGCACAAGTTAATATGAAATAATAAAACTTATGCATTGATAATGGTGATAGCAGTCATGCACAATCATTTCTTTACATGTAAAGGAGGATTTTTCACCTTTAGGTTTTTGTTTTTTTTTTGAGTACTGGGGCTTAAACCCAGAGATACTTTACCACTGAGCCATATCTCTAGTCCTTTAAAAATTTTTTTTTTTATTTTAAGACAGGATCTCACTGAGTTGCTTAGGGCCTCACTAAGTTGCTGAGGTTGGCTTCTATCTTGTGATCCTCCTGCCTCAGCTTCTTGAGCTGCTGGGATTATAGACATGTGCTGTTGCTCCCAGCTTCCCCTTTAGTTTAGCTCTTGATATGTAGATGTCTCTTTTTAACCGTTTTTCCTAAATAAATAGCCACATATGTACACCAAACAAAATAAATAAATATACACAAAGGCTTTTATCCATGTTGCATCTGTTGTATAAGTTTTTCCTAGTGAGAATCCTGGTTTTCTCTTTGCAAGCACTGATTTCTCCATTTTCTTTTCTCCAGGTTTCATGAGTTGTAAGTATGAATTTGATGAATTACCAAAGAAATAGAAGTGATGATATGAATCCAACTCGGGTTAAATCTGAATAAGCTTCCCAAATTGTTTTTTAGAAACAAAGAGGGCTGCATAGTAGATCAATGACTAGGCTTCTGTTGTAGGTTAATGAAGTGGAATTTTCAGTTGATTTTTTTTTTCGCCCAGTGCTGGGAATTGGACCCAGGAGCACTTTACCACTGAGCCACATCCTCAGCCTTTTTTTTTTTTTTTAATTCATTTTTCACTTTGAGACAGCATCTTGCCAAGTTGCTTAGGGCCTTGTTGATTTGCTGAGGCTGGCCTGGAACTTGAAATCCTCCTGCCTCAGCCTCCTGAGCTGCTGGGATTTCAGGTATGCACCACCACACCAAGCTTAGTTGGTCTTGTTGGTTGATCCCTTGAGGAGGTTCTTTTATTACAGCTGTGCAAAAGGCTGTGGGAAGTGAATATGGGAAAAGAACTTGAGTTATGCATTATTAACATTAATGTAAACGTAAGTCCTGAACACGGATGGAAAGGCCATACATTTTTTTCCTTTAGTGTTGTTTGCTATCTATATATTTCTCCATAGCAAGTAATTAAAAAGATATTTACATTCTTGTGTTTAAACTTAGTCTGAATTTACCTGTGTGCTTGGGGAAAAAAAAAAAAGTAATTTTCTGACCTAACTACCTGAAATTCTGATTTTGGGTACCTGTGGTATTGGCCAGATCTTTAGGTGTGGCCCATGCTTTGGAGAGAGACTTAAATAGAAAATGCCTGTGGGCTATTTTGAAACATCCATTCATAAGAGATTTGGGAGGGACTGCCTTAGTTCACAGTGGATCTTTAGGGAGACCTCTAAAATTAGTTCAGGTGATGGTCAGTTAGAACAGAGAACAGCAAGTGAAACATGTCCTGCTGGGAAGAGAGGCAAAGAAATCTTATGTAATTATGAAGAGCCCCTGCCCCCATGGCCATGAGTTTTATTTATTAAATTGAATCTTTTTTTGGTTTGTTTGTTTTTAAACAAACATTTTATTTTATTAGAGCTTTATAGTTAAACATAATAGTTAGATTCATCTGACAAACTCATACATGCATGGTAAATCTAAAATTTTTTATGGGTGCATTGTAATTATGCATATTGGATATCATTGTTATATATTCATTCATGTAGACAACATAATTTGGTCAAGTTCATTCCTCATTAGTTTCCTTTTCCTATCCTCACTCCCTCCCCTTGATCTCCTTCCTCTATTCTACTGGTCTCCTTTCTGTTTTCATGAGACATCCATTTCTTTTCTGCTTCTTTTCTCTCTAGTTTCCACATAGGAGAGAATATGAAGAGTTCTCGAGTCTCCACTGTGGGAAGGCTTGTGGGGGTTGACATTGGTGCTCTCTTGCTACTTATTTGCTTATTGGCTGAAGTAAAGAGGAAAATATTTTTTTTCTTCTTGTAGAACTAATACACTTCAAAATAGCTTTGGATTAAAGGACACAGTAGATTCTAGAGATGATTTAGATTGAGTAACAATAAGAATAGGACATATCAGGGCTGGGGTTGTGGCTCAGTGGTAGAATGCTTGCCTAGCATGCGTGAGGCACTGGGTTCGATCCTCAGAACCACATAAAAATAAAGGTATTGTGTCTACCTATAACTAAAAAAAATATATATATATAAAAGGAATAGGACAGATCAGTCTATGGGATATGACAAGAGGTGTTACTCAGAGCAGTATTGAGTTTTACATGTATTCTTGAGAAAATAAGTTTGGAAGCCTACACTTTGGGTGGATGCTTAGTGGTGGGAAATAACAACAAAATTAACCGAGAACAAAAACAAACCCCAACCCTAAACTAAATTTAGCAGATATAAGATACATGAGGGAAAGTTGTAGTTAATTGAACATGAGTGTTAGCGCACACCTTCCTGGCACGCCACAAACAGTTGAGGGGTAAAAGATAAAAAGGAATTACAAACTCACAAGGACAAGAAAACTGATGATGATAGATAGATAGCACTTAGAAAGCAAGAAAGCCAGTCCAAGAGTGCTGACTTTTAGCAGACCCCAGAAAGGTGAATCCTAAGACATTGGCAAAGTGGAGCAGCCAGGCTATATGGCAGAATTCCCAAAGGGCTTAAGAATCAAGGATTCAGGTACCTTTGAAAGCAGGGGACGCAAGTAGGGATAAAAACAGGAAAACTAGCTGAAAGTCTTTAGAAACCACTTTGATTGTCTAGTCACCTCCCCATTCTTTCATTCTCAGGAATTTTGGAGGATGAGTGCCACACTTAATGTTTGGTCCTTCCCTGTCACCCCTCAACTCTATCCCCTCTCTGTCATTTGTTACCTCTCTCTAACTTCTGAAAACCTTTCATTCTACTCTCTACTCTCTAGGTGATTTCTATTCAAAATGCTGCCAACTAGACTCTGGCACCTGCTAAGCTAAAACCACTTTGGTCAGGTCAAAAGAAAAGACCAATGACACTGACATCTCAGATTCCCCAATAAAATGGCTCTACAGAGAAGTTATAACCATGCACAGTTCCTTTCTTAGATACAAATAAATAGCCAAGAGTATGAAAGGCTGAAATAAGCAAGAGGTGGGGGTGGGGGTGGGCAACGAAGCCCACTTAAAGGAAACATACTATGTAAGAAGAAAATATTAGAGGAGATGTTCACACCCATGAGATAAGAGCATGCTATAAAAAATAATTCAGAGGAAAAAAAGAAACTTCTGAAAAACTCAAAATGCATGTCAGAAATGAGACACTCAGTATAAGCACTGGAAAAAATTTCCCTAGAAGGTATTGATAAAAGGAGGGGAAAATAGCAAAAAGATGTCCAGTATATGTGCTCTAACAGCTAAATAGGCACTAAAGAGTAGGAGATGGAGAGGTTGCAAAGGAAGAAGGTATTAAGTAATTCAACCAGATCCCCAGAACTGGGGGCGGGGGGCTCCAGGCCTTCATTTGTACTTGTTAAACCTTTAACACCCAGAGAAAGGTTATCCCTCCTCAGGCCTCTATGCCTCCAATGGCAGAAATAAAGAGGGGAACTCCAGACCCAATTCCGTAGAAGTCAGTGTTCAATTGTGGACAACAGAATCCACTTTAAGAAGAGGGGATTTGCTATATACTGTTAGCTCACAGAATTAATTTTCTCCCTCCCTCCCTCCCTTTCTCCTTCCCTCCCTCCCTTTCTCCCTCCCTCCTTCCCCTTCCTTTCTTTGTATCAGGGATTGAATCTAGGGGCAAAACACTGAGCCACATCCCAAGCCCTTATGTTTTATTTAGCAACAAGTTCTTGCCAAGTTGATTAGTGCCTCACTAAGTTGCTGGGGCTGGCTTTGAACTTGCAATCCTCCTGCCTCAGCCTCCTGAACCACGGGATTATAGTCATGCACCACCATGCCCAGCTAGCTCACAGAATTTCTAAACAAGGCATAAGATGGGATGCCACACAAACAGAATACAGGAAAAACCACCAACCGCAGTACCAAACAGTTCCAGTGGAAATCTAGCAGCTTCCAGGGCCTGCTGTTGGACTGCCACATCCACAGAAGACAGAGGCTGGCCCACAAGTTTTGCTTTGTATTCTGGAGAAAAAGAAAATAGCCTCACAGTCACTTTGGTAGATTGTAGAATCTTAGGATCTTTATTTTCATCTTCTGCAAGTATGTACCTGCTCAGTGGAAAT